ATTTCATGGAAACTTTCCACAGCCCATGCTGGCTTTCTTACTCCCCTTAACCCTTGCACTGGGAATTTTTATCAGAATTCGCCATATTGTTACACAGTCCTCCCATATGTCTTATCAGAGCCTTCCTCTTGCCCCGTAGGATCCGTCTGCTATCTCTATGGTTCAAGTATTTCATTCGAACCCTGCCACTCCATGTGTGCTACTTGAGGCGTAATTTCCCACACTGCCTCTGGGAGGCAAACCTGAGTCCTCGAGTAAGGATCATGGTAAAGACTTGGCTATATGGACCAGTCTATGATCCAACAGAGTAAACTGTGAGCCGACTAGTTTTAGTCTTAACCACGTCTATCCTGTTTCTGTCCGTAATACCAAGTCTATGACTTCCTATGTCCTAGTCTTTTCTGTGCCCACCCACAAATGTTGTGGTATTATTGTTTTGATTAGGTTCAATGTAGAACCACAACATTTGTGAGTTGGCACACAAGAGACTAGGGCATGGTAAGTGGCGACAGGAGAGATACCACGATTGCTCAGCAGACAATTGGTCAAAGAATCGGCTTAACTTGTTTCTTGGATGAGTTCTAGTGTGGTGCTAAGACTGGCAATGTCCACTGACAGTGCCGGCGAAACGTCTGGGATTGTACCACGTCCATGGTCGGACTCTAAATTATCATGTATACTATGGATGCCAGACTAGATGTGTCCCTCTAGGTCTTCCTGCCAATATGACCAAGTTGCGAGAATAAGGTCAAACAACTTTAAAACGAAAGTAGATTGAGACCATATAAAGGCCACATTATCTTGGTCTTCATATCATCTACGTTTAATTCCAGCATCGAGATGCTAGGATTATTCCATCCCATATTATCATTTAATAAATATTACTTTGCTTAGCTCATCATTTTCGATGACATGAGGGAAGTTTGGCAATTTTTTTTCGTATCATATTTTTCTTAACGTCATATCTAACTTTACTTAATTCCTGAAACTGATCGCATCACTATAACTTGAATTTTTCAATTGTAATAAGTCAACTCATCAATTATTTAACTATCGTTCATACTCATCCGCTTTAATACGGAATAATTTTTACTTATAGAACTGATTATTCAACAAAGATGGATTATATCTTAGTTGACATTTTCATTTGGAATTCCGTTTAAACATTGAATAGACTACTTAACATAGTTAACTAGGGTGGTTATGATTTGCCAATTAGGCTATGTGTTGGGTTCAGCAATTTCCATAGCCTTATTCGTTCACTTTCCTGGTTTAATAATTTTCGTTTATGAACTAATCATGCAACGCTATTTTCTACAATATCATGCTTTTATGTCTGTATAGTATCACATAATTTCATTTTTATTATAAAGTAATATATTTAATGGTCTAACTTCGTTTTGGCAATGTAATCGCGTTGTTAAGTAGAGCCTATTGGATGCACCACTGTAATATTATAGGATATTTAGGGGCTAAATCTTTTTCTTTCTAAAAGTAGTATCCACCTCTAATTTTGTCTCTACTTTATTGCAAAATTGGACTATTGCTATAAAATTGTCACATTTAGTAACACTCCAGCTTACTTTAGCTATTAAGCGACATCGTTGGAAATGAGAGCGCAGAATTTGTGAACAGGCAGATAGACCATATGAAGTGGAGTTGAGAGAAAGAGCTTCAGCGCTAGAAGGTAGAACTAACAATAAGGGTGAGTAGTGATATCACAAAGGTTGAACAGAAAATTGGTCAAGAGGATTGCCTTTATTTGTCACTTTGATAATTTGTAACTGTCATGACGATTGCACTTCTCACTGATAATGCCGGCGAAACGTTTAGTAATGTACTAAGTCAATGTTCCGAAATTACGAAAACTATGGCAGAGAACACATGACTGGGTACGTTCCACAAGGTCTCCTTGACTCCGACTAAGCTGCGAAAACGAAGTTAAACCAACACTTACTCTGGCCGCTTCCAACGAATAAAACCGAGTCTGTAATTGTGCTCTTTTTCATTTTCGTTCCTTAAACTTTGCCATGCACTACTATTTTATGTCTTTGCTAGTCTAATCATGATAATAAGTCTAAAAATGTAAAATATTTCATGGCTATTTTATTATTTTTCTCTTTTTATGTTGCCATTTTTCAATTAATTTAAATTTTATTCTCCCGACTTTGATTTCCTACACGTAGGTAGTCGAATTGGTCGGCAGCCAAATGCTATAAAGTACTACTGTGCTCGTGAGATTTCGCAAAACTCGGCGGTAGCGGATGCTGCTATCTCGGCCAGCTCGACAGGAATCAATGCTGTGATTTCTTTAGGAGGATCAGCCAGTTCCACTACTAATATTTCCACGACTAGTAACAAAATTACCTCTTCGCTTTCTTCCACTAAGCAAGACAAGGTGATAGTTGCAATTGTTTCTGCTGATAACGCGACCAGCACTAACACTTTATCAGAATCAAGTGATAAGAACTCGACTATTTCATCGTCTTTAGTAGTTCCTATTGGAACAGCAACCAAAGTGATTGACAGTGTAGCTGCTGTCGCTTCGAGCTCTCAATCACCACAGAAGCCGGAGGTCGAGCGTAAGTCTTGCCAGACGGGACATCATCATTTGAGAAACAGGTCTCTACAGATGACGGTTCCAGTTGCACCACTTCCTTCTTCTACAGCCATTGGTACGGGGTTTAAAGATGCAGTACAATCAGTGGAGACATTTCCATCTGCTTCTTCTCCTTCCTCCTCAGCCCCATCACCTGCTAATCCTGGGAGCCCCTGTCCACTTTTGCTTATTAACTCTTTCACTGTGACCACTTTACCCTCCAATCGATTCAATTCTTCGCCTCTCTCCCAACAGTCGCAAAGCCTTTCATGTTCCTATACTTCTAACCCTCCACTACCACCTCCATTGCCTCATACCTTACCTTGCTCTGTCTCTTCTGTTGAAATAGCTAGCACTCCACACTCTACCACTCCTACCAAGTCTTTCCTTATTTCCACCGGATCTCGGGCCACATTTAGTCATTCTTCACATGAGTTACCAAGTCCGAGTCCTGCTAAAAGGGCACGAACTCCAGTCAGTTCAATGGATACCACTTCTGTTAATAGTTCTCCTGGTAGAACTCTGGCTAAAAAGCACTCTTCGATCGATATAAACTTGCCGCGGGATGTGTCGATGTCTGTAATATCACCTCAGATACCTGGGATAGTAATTGCACCCTCGGAAACCGAGCCAATAGCTTTTACCAGACAAAACGAGGACATAAGACCACGGACCCAGTCTCACAGCCATCAACATCAACAAAAACAGCAAACCCAACACTCGCACGGCCTTGACGATGAAGGGCATCGGTTCACGGAATCAAGAGGTACCAAAATAAGGTGGGCTAATTAAAAGTAAAGAAAAAGTTTAATCGATCTTTATTTTTAAGACATGATGTTCATGACTGAAGTTATTCTCACTTTGCATAATTTATCCTGTCTATTTAAGTGTTTTATCATTTTTATTATAAAACCAGGAGCTAAAGCTACCATCAAAGTTCATTAAACGTCACTTTAACCTTTATTTTTTATTTTAGTTCGCCATCACTCTCTTCTCTCGCTTCTCCTAGTTCTTCAGATGTTTCGGAACCAGCCCTTTGCGATACAGCAGTAACTTTGACAGATATTCATAATATACAGGAGATTACTCCAAATTTTTTGGTAATGTCAATTTTTACCAATTAATATTGATGTCATAAGTCTTATTTTTTAAAATACATAATATCTAATATTGAATTTTTTGTTGGCGAATAATATTCTTCTGCTGTTTTGTTCTTCTCGGATAAATTGACAATATGCATAAATAAGTATCTTATTTCTTAACCAACGGGGCTTATTTTATTACCATTTTTCTTTATGTTAGTTCGCATAATTTTCATCTAGATTTTTTATTATAAAAAAGAAGCTCGAATTTCTTGAAGCAAGCGAAACATTTTCAAAATTATTTAGTTATCAAATTAATTTTGAGCCAAACAACATCTTTTATTACAATTTGTCAATCTCATAAATGGCTCTGCTTAAATAATTGTTTCTGAATCCCGATAAAGGAATAGCTCCTTTGTCTTTGTGGCTCCTCTTTGTCTGCATTTACACAATATTACAACTTACAAGCTATATTCCTTGCTTATTTATTTCTTCTTCCACAGGTTTATAAAAGTCATAAGTTTTATTGAATTAAATATTCTCGGATTAAAACTTGCATCATTATCCTACTCACCCTTTGTGAATTTTAGGCAAACCGTTAGTTTAACATCCCTTCGATGAAGTGCATTAATTTGTACTTATTCCCCTTATCACACAGCTTAAAGAAACTCTAATTCACACTTTGGGGTCTATATAGCTTCCTCTATCAGATAATTCCGTTAGTTTATAATTTCATGAAGATCGCAGAGCTTTTCAATGATCTAATTTATTGCTTTACTGCTTTACTTTTGTTTGTATCTAATTTTTTATCATTCTATTTGTTTTTTTTAGTTATAATTTTCACTGTCTAGATACCATGCTCTCAATCCATATCATTAATAGTCGGGGTAGTGACATTTTGCTAAACTTCGTCTAGTTTACGCTGGGCACCAATATGGTTGACTCGTTATTCCTAAACTTACGTCATCCTCATACTTCTTTCTCTTAGTCGACATAAATTTCAAGTCCGTTTCTTTGACTTTCTTTTTATTCACTTTTAAAGTTTTATATAAGGTTACCAACATTAGTTATCTATATTTAGAAAATTCTTGTTTAGCCCCATACATGAGTTTATTATCATTTA